TAGAATGATACACAGTCTGTATGAGAAGGTGATCGAACGTGACTTACAAAGGGCAAAGATGGTGTGTAGATTATTTCAGAACTTATTTGTATTGCATGCTGGATGATATTTTTTTATACCTGAACTATATTGTTATACATAATATCAGGGTATTCTTTTATTCTATTCAGATTTAAGGCTGAACTTCATTTAGTTGTGTGAGTTATATACTTTTCAATGACAATAAATTGAATGCAGTCTAATCAGATGATTGTTTTCTTGATGAACTGAGTTTATTGTCTGGAAAGATTAAATTACCAGAAAAGACTGAGACTTGAACCAGTCAACATATTAGCATTTTTGCTTAGAGGTGACTCAGAGCTGTTTGATTTTCTGTCGTCACTTAGATAACTTTGGATGTTCTTGAAATGCATTAATGTCCTTCAACCTTTCTGCTTGTAGTTGTTGACATGAAGGAGACACACACGTGGCATCTCACAAGTTTAGTCAAGCATCTCTGTTCTCTGGACTTTTTCTCAGGGTGGCTGTAGCTCAGAAGGTAGAGCAGGCCATCTATTTATTGGAAGGTTGCTGGTTCAATGCCTGGTTGTGTTCATCGGGTTTGTTCTACTTATGTGCAACGCAAGGTAGAATTCTAATATTTCAACAAAATTAACAGTTTTGTTTTTTGTTATTCTTTTTTTGCACAATTGTTGTGATGATCACAATAAGTCATATCTCTTTTGGTTAGACTTTTTTTTTCTCTTTTGTGCATTTTATAGTTTGATACACTGGTGTTTGTGGGAGTGGGATAGGACACCTAAGCCATCATTGGATGTACAGTATGTATATGGGGGTTAAAGTTGAAGGTGCTTCTCCCCGTGGACAGCAGTTATACACACTAGGAGAAAGGCAGTGAAGCATTGCACAGCCTAGTTTACAGCAGCTAAGGGACAAATGATTCTTACAAGGTGATTGGACAGAGAGGTGAGTACGTCTATAAAAGCTGCATTCAGGGCAAGGATATGACTGCACTCATAAACTCCTAATGACCTCCCCCCCCACCCCCTTTTTTCTCTCTCTCCCCCTCTCTGCATCTCTTGTGTCCCCACCTCCTCTTTTTCCTCTTGTCACCCTGGCGCCTTCTCTGCAGCCCTCATACTGCAGCAATAACACCCCCCAGAGAGCTCTGTTTGCGAGTCAGCAAGAGAGACGTACAGCTGTAGCACTCTGAACCCCCAGGATTTCTCATTATCATCATCATCATCTCTGTTGTTCCACGAAATGTGTGACCAGAAAAGCATGATAGTGTGTGTGGCAGCAATCGGGCAGTTTTTCGTCAAAGGGGTTTTCTGTTGTGCTCTTACGTTCACTGAACATGAAGTCAGATGCGATGTCAAAGGGCTGGATCTGGATGTCATACATGGAAACGGTGATGCCCTTCTGGTGGTCACTTGAGATAAGAGTGAGGGTCTGCTGTGCCGTGCACACATAGGAGCGCCCGGCAGGGGTCACCAGGGCTGACAGCCGGTGGGTGCTGGCTGTGTGCTTCCCAGCTGGAGAGAAATGAAAAGGGGGGGGGCGTGTTGTGAGTGGAATGTGAAGGAGGACATTATGATGCAACCAACACTAAGGTGCTTGTGTATGTAACTGACCTCTGGTTTAATGTAGAAAGGATATCCAAGTTAATAACTTGAAACATTCAAAGTATAATATAGGTGGCTCCTGTTGAAATTCTCCAAAATAAAATGTATTGAGTAACGAACAAAGTCTATTGGGGAGTAATTGTTTTTTGGAAGAGGTCCGATTTATTCATCCGGTTTTGTTTTTTTTCTCACTCAGTTGTTTAAAAAAATAAAAATGTGTAATCTCAGCTAAAAGTCACAGGGTGGAAAAATAAAAAATAATTAAAAATCTAAATTAATTTAGCTAAAACTCTTAATTGATGTTGGTGGGCGAAACTCCTACATTCCTACACGAATCAGCCTCTAATTCCAGCTTAATGCTGCTGGGAAATGAATGAGGGGAAGTTGCGCGATGGAAATTGCTGAGTCTGAGACTCACGGTTGTATGCGTTGATGAAATGCGATGTCTCCGAGGTGTCGTAGACGAACTGAACCTTGCTAATCTTCCACACCTCGATGCCCTTGTCACGGAATTCCTGCAACACACGGGGAGACATAAACACTCACGCACACATGCGTCAAACGACGGGAAAGGTGATTTGGCCTGCGCTCGCGAAAAACTGAGTTACTCGATTTTTTTAAAAGACTTTTGTGTTGAAATCTTTGGGAAATTACCAAATTCTGATACATTTGTTAAATTTACTGGGAACGTTTCTTTTAAACCAGAACCAGTAGATTTTATTATATTTAAATCACGGGATTTGCACTAATTTTACACAGGCTACGCGCTGTTTCTGCGTGTCAAAATAATGTAATTGGCAGCCAATTTGTGAATGCACGCATTTTCTTAAGACTTATGGGGATATTTTGGTTACATTTCATGTAGTGTAGATACATTATTTTCGTTTACTCGCCTTGGAAAAGTAGATGCGGAGGATGTAGGCGTTGTTCTTCCAGGTTATGTGGATCTCTGACTCGGTGCTCTCACATTTCCCCTCGATTTCTGCGCCACGGGGGAGAGTGAACGACGCCTGCTCGGTGATCAGCTGCAAAAACATTCAGCAAGCGTCAAGGTGGCAAATAGCGGACTGAGTTTCCAATGAAAGAAAGCATTATCTGTGCGCCAGATTGCACTGTAGTGGTATATAATACAACTGCATGATTCTGAATTTTTTTTTTTAAATTAATTTTAATCTCTTTTAAATGTTTCGAAAAGTTTGCTGTTATCCGTTCTTTATAACTGGACTCATAAGAGAGAGGTCAGCATTTTGCGCACAGCCGTGGGTCACAAACGCATATTTTAAATTTATCGTAGGCCTAAATTTATTTAAAGTAACTCTTTCTTCTTAACAGGAGTTTAAAGAAATCACATTGAATACAATGTAAATATTTTACATCTTAAAAATCCCGTTTCCGATGTTTCGATCCGTTTTACGCACAAACCAAAACGTTTAATTTTAAGCGGGTTTCTCTCATTCCTGAAGCATGCGTTGTATTAAAATTCAGTGGGGATTCCTTACGTCTATCCCGTTGAGTGCAAGCACGTCATATGGCACGAGGAATTTTACAGCGAACTCCACCATGAGACATGTTGTGCCGTTCTCTCGAACCGCGAAGATGGCTTTGTCTGGGTTGTTGGAGAGACCGGACAGGTTTTCACCTTCCTGCTCAGCCAGCACCACGGACAGCGCCAGCACACCTGACGACAAGAACAGAGGAGGTGAGCCTGGTGACAAATGGCTCGCAGACACACTCACGCACACATTTGGGCCACCCCTGAAAACATGCAGAATCAGCAGAATCTGCGTCGTAAACGACTGGAGTTTAAGCTGAAGCCACCTGGCATCTTTTAGATCACCTCGGTTTCTGGTGACAAAGTCAAAAACGGGTTAAAAAACCGAGAGTGAAGTCTGCAGTATCAGGGGAGCAACAGCACATCACGGACTGCAGTAAGAACAGCCTCAGGAAGTGACAAAACTACAACTCTTCTTACATTTGAAGCTCTTTTTTTCCCACCCAAATGAGGAGATAAATAATGGGTGAAATACGCCAACTCATGGAAATATAAGAACACGCGCGCACACGGAGCCAGTAGTGGCCAGACACAAGCAGTGCACGTGCACGCCCATACACTTACACACACTGCAGTAAGGAGTCACGACAGCTTCACACACACTTTCTTACCAAACACAGTGAACAGCAAAAGTCGGGCGCTCTCCGTGGTGCTGAAACCGAGACGTCCCATCGCTACCAGCTTCCCCGGAGCAGGAAAAAGAGCGGGGGCTAAGTGACTGGGCAGCCGGTGCTGAACCCGCGAAAAGAAAAGAGAGAAAGGAAGGCAGTGAGGGGAGGGAGAGAGAAAATGACAAAAAGAGAGAGCGAGAGAGAGAAATGGGGGGTGGGGAGAGAGAAAGAGAGGAGGATTGCCTCTTCTCAGCGCCAAGAAGTCACGCTCAAATCATCGTGAATGCTGCAGGAAAGAAAAAAAAGTCTCCAGGTTGGGCGTGAGATCCGGTTTGCGCCGCAAAAGCTGCCCGGCACCGAGGAGTTCTGGCTATCCAAACCGACCTCTCCTTTCAAGGTTGACAGGCTTTAACCCAGCGACAGCCTCTGCACGTTATTAACGTCACGAAGAATGATTCCTTTTTTTTTTTTTTTTTTTTTTTTTTTAAAGAAAGAAAAAGTCGCTTAAGTTAAAAATGATCGCGGCATGCAGTGTCAGTTATTCCCGCAGTGCTGTGGTATCCATGTCTGTGGTAAAGCGACTGCAGGTTGGGGTTGAAATGATGGATGTCTGGAGGGAAACACCGACAAAACCTCTCCCCCTCCTCCCTCTCTCACTATCTCAAACTCCACTTGTGCAAGGTTGAAGCCAAGTGCGTTTGAGAGCGAGAGCTACAAAACGCTCATAATGAGATTATCACTCTTTCTCTGCCAAAATAAGAGGGGTGTGAACCCGGCACCGGAATCAGTACAGCACTTAGCTTTCTCTAACTTTACACAAGGATGATTTTGAACCCACAAGATCAGAGAAAAATCTGCGCTTATTGACCTTATGGAATTAGGGCAAAGTGTGAATAAATGTTTTATGTAACACTCACTACCACAAACCTTATCGAGGGTAGATGCCACACAGACGCATAGACATCAGATTTAGACTTTATTTGATGTTAAGGTGTACTGGAAGATACAGAAAAATCTCACAGCACAACAAGCTTATGCTATACATAAATAATACATATTGTGTATGGCACGTCACCTCTTCACCTTTGATGAACACTCCACCTACTTTAAAGGGAGTGGCATATAACACCGGACAAAGTTCCAACCATATACTGACACTACAGCATACACAGTCGTAAGGCTGCGAGGTACTACGCAAACAGTTTGATTCATTTGTACTTTAAATATGGGTGTAAATGTAAAACTTTAGTCGCATGGATTTATTGTTTCCACTCCAAACGGAGTAGATCAAAGATGAATGCGTTCTGGTAACTCTCACGGAAATTACCGGAGTTTTGAAAGTCATGTCTAAACGATCTTTGTGGGAATCCGTTCTTAAAGTAACGCGGGCAAACACGCTTTTTAAGCGTTTGTTTTTCTCACATGAAAGTCAAACTCGCACTTGACGGAGCTGATGCTGTCGATGCTGGCTTTGCTGTCGACCTGGGGATGTTTTTTAACAGCCTGTGGAAAAGTTTCTGATCGCGGAATCCGCATTGAAAATGCCGTCGGATCCTGTTCCAGCTCTTTCGCATCCTTTTCAAACTCCGGGAAAGTAAAGCGGCGCAACATTTTGTTGCTCAATACAGAGAAAGTCGCGGCTGCAGATGAGGCAGTCGGTGCCTGGGGAGGTTCAGCCTTGCCGGGAGACCTTTCGCGCCTCCTCACGGTTCTAGATTTACGCAAAGGGACCAGAGTGCGCTCAGGAGGTGCGGGGCTGAGCATGCTGGTTGGCAGGCTGCACCTTTTCTTATAATAGCTGTCGGGAAATCTGTGTAGACCGAAGTCTAACATTTTGGTTCGTTCTGTTGCCAACTCATTCTCACTTTTGTTGGCAAGAATGGGGGTCATTAAAATGCCCAGAGCAGAGGGCGCGCTGGGTCTGTGGCTGTTTCTGCTGGGCCGAGGCGAGAACAGTGTGGATCTTTGAGCCTCACAGCCCATCGTTAGAGGGGGGAGGGGGTCATCTGAGGTGGTCGGCCTTCCCTCGGTTTTCGGATGCTTAAGGTTGGGAGAAATACAAGGACGGGGTGCAAGGGTCGAGACTTCAGAGAGGACCAGATCAGGTGGAGGCGAGGAGGCGCCTTCGTTCTCCGTTTCAAACTCCTCTATCGAGTTCATGGATGGCAACCCGCTCCGCTTTATCCGCGGGATTGGCTGCCGGGTGCAGTTTGGAGCCAATAGGCAATGAGCATGATTACACGCTCGGAGGACCTCCAGTCTGTCTGCTAAATGTCCAACCTTCTTCTCCAGCTCGCCGGGTCGCAGCTGCGCACTTCCACGAGCGCCTCCGTCCTCGCGGCCCTTTTTGGAATTGTTGGTGAGAGCGCAGATGCATTCAGTGTGACCAAGAAACTTTGCCACTCCAATAGCAGAGTTTCCAACTTTGTTTTGTCGGTCTATCTGAAGACCCAGCCTCTTGAAAGCTCTCACCAAAAACTCGACAACGTGCGCGTGACCTGCCACCGCGGCGTACATGAGCGCTGTGTTTCCCCACGAGTCTACAATCTCCGGGTCCGCGTTGTTTCGGACCAGGATCTTCACCGCGTCCAGGTGTCCCTGCTCACAGGCGTGACTGAGCGCTGTGCGCCCGTTTCCGTCCCGACAGTTGACGCTGGCGCCTCTGTGCAGCAGGAGCTCTGCAAACTTACACCGAGCCTGGGCATCGGGCAGCAAGACAGAGGAGATGAGGGGAGTCTGTGCGCCCTCCGTTTTGGAGTCCACGATTTCCCCATCCAGCGCATCCAGAACAAACCGGGCCAGGTGGACTTTATCCTTGGAGATCGCATCCAGGAGGATCTTGGTGCCTGTTTTCCCGTTAGACTTCCCGGGAGCTTTTAGCATGTTTATTAGAAGATTATTATCCAATAAGTTTATTAAAATTTATTTACGAAAACTCATCTTTCTATTAGTAGAGCAGGTTTGGAAAACCTCTTTCCCCCCAACGATTGCTGACAAACAAAGCCTCCACCCTAATTTTATAGTGAAAGGGAAGCTACGGAGGAGTTGCCGGGCAACGCAAACATAATTAGCCTACCACGCTTTGTTCTTCTTTTCTAATGGAAATACTTTGTTTACAATGACATAAAAAAGAGCGTCAGCACTGGAGCCGCCTGTGTTCAAGAGAGGACCTGGCTTATCAATTCACTTGTTGAATGTGATGAGACAGCAGTGGTTATTATTTGTGGGGGGGGCGTGGGTGGTGTGCTTGTGCCCTACAGTGTGCTTTAGAACACAATTATCAAATCAGAGAAGATGAATAATCCACATTACAGCCTGGAGAGTATATGGTAGCATCTGAATGAATCACATTTTCAGTGACATCATTGGTGCAGCTTAACTACAAAATTGGCAGCACGATGTTTCAGCATTCCAACTAACAAAACATGCTTACCTCACACCCCTGATATACGTCTTCCTCTGGCCTGCAGTGTTTTCTACTATCCTCGATTGTTTTTGTGCAATGTTTCTCATGTAAAACTGTAAAAAAGCTAAGCAAACAAAAGAAACTATTTTCTTTCTGCAAAGTTTCACTATGACTGCAGAAAGACTGCAGGGCTGGTGGTGGTTATAGTGTGACAGCATGTTAACATTTATGGTGCCCTCCTCAGATGAGCTGCACAAATGACTGCATGGTTGGGAGAAAATTTATTTATTTAGGTTTGGGTAACTTGGGCGCAATATTATTAGTGCTGTGTAATACTGTAAATTTAGGTCCATCCATCCATCCATTCGCTTCCGCTTATCCTTTTCAGGGTCGCGGGGGGCGCTGGAGCCTATCCCAGCTGTCATAGGGCGAGAGGCAGGGTACACCCTGGACAGGTCGCCAGTCTGTCGCAGGGCTAACACACAGGGACAGACAACCATTCACACTCACATTCACTCGCACATTCACACCTAGTGACAATTTGGATTAATCAATTAACCTATCCCCAAAAACCAGGTAAATACAGGACCAGTGTTGCTGACGCCAATAATAATTTTAACTTATAAAGGCAGCTTATGTAGGTGAGAGCAGTGTGTCGTAACTTATGAGGAATCCACATCATTTCCAAATTCTGAACATTAATGACACTAAATCCCTGCACTTTTTACTTTCCACTTTAGTTAATACAACAAAACACACCTTTCAGATTTTCATGTATTTTAAAACTGGAGCCCTGCAATGTAAATGTGCCCATCTTTAAAGCACTTTAGGTCGACTGTTTTTAAATGTGTTAATAATAAATAAAAAAGGCTTGATTTAGCAAAAACAGGTTCAGGCATTTTTCGTAATGAATGTTTGAGGTGTTTTTTCATTCCACCAAAAAAGAAGATAGGATCGATACTAGTATGAATCCAATACTAATACCTGCGTTGATATTGACACTATCGCTATTTGAATCAATGCACTTTTATGTATACACTTTGCATACTGCAAGGAAAAAGCTATTTAGTTCTTTTATATTCAAGCCCAGGCAGACAACTCTACAGCTAATATTTTGAAAACCAGGCAAGCGTAATGTCTTTATATTTATACTTACACTTTCCTAGTCTAACAGACTACTCAAAGTAGCTTTAAGTAGCAAATCACAATTAACTATGATGCTTTATTCTGCTTTATCTACCTCACATCTACTATCAATTTAGAATCACTACTTATTCTAACATGCATGGCTTTGAAGGAAATCGGTGCACATAAAGGAAACACAGGGAAAACATGCTAATCTCACTCAGCCAGCATTTGAGCCAGGAACCTTCTTGCTGCTGCACAGCAACAGCGTTAATCACTCTACTATTTAATTCAATGCAGTTCAAATTGTATTTATATAGTTCACAACAACTGTCACATCGAGGTGGTTAATATTGTAAGGTAAAGTGAGCCATCTGCCCTGGGGCATTTTGGGGGGGAGGGTTAAGGAGAGAGCAGACGGATACATGACAAATGACACTATGGATACGTTGGATAAACAGAAGTACACGCCTGGGGAAATGTACATGATTTTAGCAGTACTGTACTTTTTCCCCCCAATTGGAAATATTTTATTTCCCTCAAATTCAACAAGGTTAGGTCAAACACAGAGTACGTTCTGAGGAAAACACAAATGAGCCACGTAATTATGTCCCATTTTACACCTGGATTTATTGAGACACATACTATAAAACAGTATTAAAGGAGCTGGATAACAACAGTATTTTCATTGCTATAAGTTCAACAGTACAATATAAATACAAAAACACGCACAGAATGTCTGTCGACAAGCTACAATTCAAATAGAAAATAAAGGAGATACAGTAGAAACTGAGGAAATGAAATCAGTGATGTTGCTCTGCAAAAATAATCTGCTTTTTTGACAAACTCGAGAGCCAAAGGTTACATGTAAATCACACAACAGAAACATTCAACTAGTGCAAAAAAAGCTTCTAACATAATCATCTTAAACTACACATTATCTAATATATAATATATATTCATTTATTTATATATACTTTCATATAAATAACCCCTTAATTTGGCATTTTATCATTCATAAAATAATTTAAACATCCTAACAGACACCGAGTGGCACATTTGAAAGCGATGGAATAAAATTTAAAAGCACTTTTACTCATTTATCTCTACACTAGATATGTGGTGAGAGCTTTATATCGTGTTGTGTGGTGCAGTATAAGGGCAGACTGGAAAACAAGAAAAGAAAAAGAACAAACTCAAAAACAAAACAATGGTTGATCATTTTTCCCTCACCCAGCAGACCCACTCAATCCCCAAGCCCTTAAATGGCAGAACACAACTGGTCCAAAAGTAAATTAAACTACATACATTCCAGTATATACAAGAATATCCCGTCTACCCTTTACATATAACACAGCAGAATAAAACAGAGGAAAACAAACAAACAAACAAAACTTTTTAAAAAAGGCCAAAATACCCATAGGTGCCTTTATCCTTAATGTTTTTATATCATTACATGACTTTTTTGTCAGTTTAGTCAATGTTAGTGTGAAATTATAACAGTACTGCACATCACACTTTTAATTCTCTGCAGAGGCATCAGGGCACAGTACCACCACCTCCAACATCACCTCTGTAACATCGTTAGGAAGGGAACCTGCTGTAGACAGGAGTGAACACCAGAGACTTCTACGAATCTGTTATTCGGTCCACCCTCCTATAGCCAGAGCAGGACAGGGAAACTGCGAGGTTTACAAGCTGAGGGTGCTCAGGTGCAGTCAAGAATCTATAAAGGGAGCACTAGCATTCAACAATGCTGTAATAATGACAAGACAAAGAGACGGCTGCCAGCCAAAGTCAGATAGAGGAATGGGCGACAGCAAGTGTGGAATACCGTTTACTGTTACAGCTATGAGGGAATTATCTTGTTTGCATAGTGTACGTAGAGTACCAAAAGTATTGCAGTTTAAACTGTACTCATGGAAACGAGTAAAATACATATAAATGTAATTTCCAAGTGCAAAAGAAGCACAGCTATTAAACCATCTCATGAGTACCTAAAATTAAAGTAAGTGAAACAAAAAAATTTGATTGAGGGATTAGCATGTATTCCCTGTGATCCCTTTATAGTATTCTGACTCAGCATGACAATAAACCTTTTTTATAGTCATCAAAAAGTCAATAACATGTCTTTGTGATAAGGTGGAGGATTGTGTAACATGGAGGGAGAAAGGGGGGTGGGTGTTGCCACTCTTAATACAACAATTTTATTTTTTTAAAAATACATTCTTACTGAAAACAGAAAACCTACAGTAGTGCACCGCTACATGTTCTGTGTTTTTGTTAGTTTTTCTTCTCTTTTTCTTTTTTTCCTTTTTTAACTTTTTTTGACAGCCTATCAGATACAAAGTGCTCAGGACACGACTGGTGTAGCATACAGTGTATTTCTCATACAGTTGATTCATTTGTGCTGAAATGACATTAAATCTTATACATACTCTTCATCCCTCTGTTTCTGCAGCGGTTCATTGGATACTGCTTTTTTTTTTTTCCTTCGCAAAAATGGTCAAATTGGGAACAGAGCCTGTTTATGTGACCTGTCATGAGCCGGCGTGTGTGTGTGTGAGGAATTTGGTGTATGTGTGCTTGTACTAAGTACTGCTAATAGCTGAAGAGAACATACAATGTGATGGCAACAGAGAATTTAGATACACTAGAGGAGACGACGTATTTTCCTGTGTGTTCTCCGAGGTAACGTTTCCTGTCTCGATAAGTGGTTAATCCCCCCTGACAAACGGTGATAAGCACCAATGGCTCAGTGGTATAAAGATAGTGGTTGGAGAGCACACGATGCATGGCTGAGTGAACAGAGCAAAAGAAGAGGTGTAGGGCCGGGGCTGCTGTGTGTCTGAGCGAACATAAATAAAACACAGAAAGTGATGCAGGAAGGTTTTCATCTCTGGACTGTAGAGGGCTTTCTGTGGAGTGTTTTCTGCACCTTCTTGTGTTTGAGTGTACAAGTGTGAATGTGTCTTCCCAGTCTCAGCCGCTCACACCACTGTGGCAGGTCTGCGGTCCATCTCCTCCTCCAACTTCACCATCTGCTGCATGTCCTTCGTCTTGGAAGAGATGGAAGACAGTTAAGACAGACAGACACCTTCTTTTAATGTGTGCAAGTGGAAGATTTTCTAGTGGATTTGTACAACTTTTGTGATCAATTTGTGTTCAATTTTTAGTAAACAATTTATCAGTATGGGCTTCAGATTTCAGGATTCTGTTGGGTGTATCTCTGAATTGCTTGGCAGGTAATAAAGCCACATGCTTAGTTGGAGTAATTGTTGCCTCAGTGGGACACAGTGACATACTATGAAAGTAAATGATTATGAGCTGGAGTAGAAGCACAGAGGAGCAGGTTGTGAGCTGGCTGTTTTTACTTAGTAATAGCTGGTGAGTCATGGTGATAAATGACTTGAGCTTCTAGTTGGCACTCCTGACAGCGCAAGAGCTGCAGACTAAAAATGTGGGAGTGGAATTTCATCATACAGAGGAAAGAAACACTTTCTATTTCAAACTGTGCAAATCTCTTCAAAGACAGGCCTGTCGTGTACTATTCCCCTGCTGTACTCAGGGCTGAGTCACTTGAGTAGATCATTATAGCAATCATTTAGATAGCAGATAAGTCAAGACTTAAACAGGCTCGGTGAAAAACTGAGGCAATGAAAACGTGACTAAGAGGTAGGAGGAAAAGACGTGAAAGGAAACACGATCACTGAATGATGCAGTGAGAGAAAGGTGATGTCAGAGGTAGAGATGAGGGGAGATGGCGATGCCTACCTTGAACCTGTTTGTTTGCATGGTGTGATTTCAAAAGCTGTGCCGGAAGAAGCAAATCAAATTAAAAGAAAGGAAAATGTGCATACATGTGAAACATGTACAGGTACTATGACAGATGGTAAAATAAAATGCAAAAATGGGGACATGATGACGTAAACCGTACTTTCTTCTATTTGTAATGTCGGGGGAAAAAAGACGCTGATATTATAATCTGGCTTTTTTGTTTGTTTGTTTGTTTGTTTCATTTCAGCAGTTTTGTTTATCTTTAGTAATTCAGGGCAATTCTGATCCTAACTTTGGGGGAAAATTTTTGCATAAATAATAATTATATCACAAGCAATAACAACAGCAGTCAATATGGCAGTGAAGGAAGTACAGTTGTGTTTAGAAGTTTACAAACCCTCATCATGAGCATTAAAAGTATTTGTTTGACAGCACTCACTGGATTTACCAATATGCAGAACAATGGGAAAGTCCAGTGAACTCAGTAAAGATCTAAGAAAGAAATCGGTGGAATCACACTAGTTGGGAAAGTCCCTCTGAGCCATTTCTGGTACTGGTACATTACACAAAGTGGATGGAATATTGAAGAAGAGTGACTACCTCCAAATTCTTAAATTTCACCTCAAATCAACAGCTAGATAGTTGAAAGTTGGGCACACCTAGTGGTGCCCAACTTTCCAACAGGAAAAGGATCCTAAACTGGTTACAGTGCTGGAGGAATATATACACAGAGGACTGGAATGTGAGTGTCCGACTCTGAAATTCAGAGAAATTATCTCCACTAAAGATACATGCTTTACATTCATTCTACCCTGGAAAAAGTTAGTGTTAAAAAAAAGTTAAAAGCCCGAAATTACAATGACAGTCATGCCCATGATGAGGGAATGTAAACTTATGACAAATGTATCTAGAACATTTAACTAGTCCCAAAGCTTGAGTGTCATTTATACTTTCTAAGCCGGTAAAGCAAGAAGCTCCCTAAACTGAGGAATGTTCTGATATGAGCAGGATATGGTCCAATACTAAATGCTGGGTTTAAACAACAGTGTTAACAGCTTAGATAGCAGTAACTGTGATTGCTGTCACCTATCTAGATCAATTTACACTGTAGTGGCAGTAAAAGGTAATTTCCTTCTATGTACCTGCTCATTGAACTTCTCCAGTTTCTCCAGCTGCTCTCTCTGGTTTTTCTCTAGCTGCTCCATCTCCTTCTGATGCTTCATAGCCAGCTGCAGAAACACGGAGACAAAGGCAATAAACTAAATTGTCATAAATAAATAGCAATGTTTTTTATTACAATGAAATATGTTTTAGTAGGGGGAGTCATTTGGAGCATTTGATTCAAGATTAATGATCATTATGCAACAGTGTGTTGTAAAACAAAATTCTGATGTCGTCACAAACAAGAATGACAGGCTGTCTCAGCCTGAGGAAAGAAACTACTCTGAGGTTGAGCGCTGCAGGAGCAACAACTTCTTTATCACTTGCCCAATGGCAGCAGGGGGAACAGACTGAGGGATATTACACTTTGTATTTAAATTCCAACAATGTTAATCCAGTGCACAGGCTAAAGGAATAATGATTGAAGTGCTCTTCAGCTGAGGAACAAAAAATAAACATCCTACCCTCTTCCTCTCATCCAGGAACTTCTTGGTGTTGCTGCTGTTTAGCTCTCGCACTCTCCTTCAGAGCGGAACAAAACCATCACAACATGAAGTTACAATGAGCGCTTAAGAGCCCCAAAACAACGACTGAACGATTACATCATGGGCGTGACCCACCTCTCTCGCTCTGCCTTATTTTTGATAGTCTTGTCCTGGCTGATGGCTTTACTGTTTTCCATGGACATTTTAGCCTGGTTGGCACGCATCTCTTTGCTCTGCCTGCATTGTGGAACAAGCAGCTGCATATAAGACAAGTTGTCTGCATCCAATTTTTGGCAATAAAATCTCAGAGTAGCTGCCCCAAATGATCATGTCTGATCACTCGCAGTAATCCATCCCTATGTGTGTGAGCAAGCTGTGCGGGTCTCTCACCTTTCATGAATGAGTTTGAGCTGCAGGGTCTGCTGCTCCTGGACAGTGGCCAAGAGCTTCTTGAGGTGTTCACACTGCTGGGTGACGTGGCTGTCCTTCATCTCCTGCTCCTCACTGCTGTGACTACTGATTAGCTCTGACCACTCTTTGGTGTGCTGTGCTGTGATGTCCTTTACCTGCATGCGAACACACGAGCGCATTAATAACTCACAGCTAAGATACTTGTCATCCTCACATCTAATAATAGCTTTGTGGAAAGAGCGTTTGCTGTAAGTTACCTTGGTTTTATGATCAGCAACTAGCGTTTGAATCTTATCTTCTGTCTCCTTCTTCAGCTCTTGGCAGTTGTTTTCACTGTAAGGAACCCACATGTACAAGTGTACAAGAGAGGTTTAGTTGAATTGATCTTAAGGAATGGAGTCAAGAGGGGTGGGCAAAGTTAGGTATGTCTTTGATTTGTCTCTGTGCATAAATGGTTATTTGCAAAGCTTCACATCACACAGGGAGCTTTATAGAAGCAGTGTCGAGTCTTGCACGGGGACCTCCTGTCCTCTTTGTATGCTCTGTGCAGTTTGACACAGCTAATATTATTTTCTGAGCTCTAGATGTCGAGGTTTGCCAGTGTAGCAGGCAGAATAGAACCCAAATGCAGGACTCTGGAAACTAGAAATGAACTCAATAACACAGCTTTAATGGTCTACAGGGGGAAAGAGAACAAAAAAACATTCACTGAGCAGGAAAGAGTCAAACAATAAATACACACGAGGCAGTTAGGGAGATGGGAAACACAAGGGAACATAGCTGCAACAAATCAGGAAAACTAGACAGGTAACTTAAAACTCAACATGAAGCACACAAGACTATCAAAATAAAACTGGAACTAACACCAAGACACAGACCCAAACCTCAGAATTTGACAGAGACAAAAAGATAAACAAACATAGAGACAAGACTGACTTCACAAGGGAGACACTAAAGGACAAAACACAGAGATGAGACTAATGAGTTTGTGTGTGTGTGTGTGTGTGTGTGTGTGTGTGTGTGTGTGTGTGTGTTTGCTTTTGTCTCCACTTACCCTCGTTTCTTGATGGCTTTCTCTAGTAGCTTCTCCAGAGTTACTTTCTCCTTATCATGCAGAGACACTATCTTGTCCACCTGCGTGCAGTGAGTTTTCTGCATTGTATTTTGATCCTAGTGCAGAAAAGGGAGACACGTTTATTATTTATAATTATTATTTATTATATATAAGTATTTACCTATGCCATGCAGATGCAGTTTTAACCTATATTGAAACCAATTTGGAATCAGCACAACAGGCAGCAGCAACAACAACAACGATTATTGTTTGTAATACACTCATGTTGATTTTGTTGCTCCCCCTGAATAATGAACCAGCAGCTATCTTTTTTTTCAGCCAACAGATGGGTCTGCAGGTACTGATATACATATGTTAAGCAACAGGACTAAATTCTGTGATGATTAATCTGCATGTATGACTGAGCCAGCAGCCAATATAAACTGTGCCGATCGCTGTTTGAAGAAAAACAGCAAATCATTATGTGTCTGGATCTATAGACACTTCTCAGTATTTTAACATATGTGCCTTCTTTACTCCTGGGATATAACTCAAATCTCCACAAATCCATCCCTGAGAGGAAGGGAAAAGGAAAAGTTTGCAGTAAAGAAACAGTTGTATAATTTCCTGCATCTCTCTTATACAGACTTGCTTTGTGCAGCCAGGAGACACTAGAAGCAATATGACACATTAGCATACTCAGAAGCACCCTATGTACATTATGAATGGACTGTCTGTGTGTGTGTGTTTGTGTGTGTGTGTGTGTGTGTGTTTGTGTGTGTGTTTGTGTGTGTGTTTGTGTGTGTGTGTGTGTGTGTGTGTGTGTGTGTGTGTGTGTGTGTGTGTGTGCGTGCGTGTGTGCATGCAGTCAGTGGTCAGTGGAAGATGAAAGGTAGAGCCGCCTCCCCTTCCACCGTTTCTATCCCTCTGAGCATCAATAACTGTCAGGAATAAACAGCAGCCCCTTTGTATTATTAGCAGACAGGTCTGCAGTAAAACAGTCACCCACCTTTGAGTGTTTCTTCTTTAGAGTGTTGAGCTCCTTCTGCTGCTTTTTAATCAATTTAAGGTACGACTGCAGTGGGAGAGATCCATGTTTAGTCACGATGTACAATATACTAGACTCAGGCAGCATTAATAGTTGGCGTGCAATTACTTCCATGAGATAATTGTGAGTTTAATATTGGTGCAAAATCATTTGTTATTACTAAAATATAACACAAAGTAGTTATTGTTTTTTAGGTCTAAACATGATACAGACAATGTCAACACCTGAAGCAAAGATTACTTCTATATAATTGCTCATTTTCATACATATGCCTGTACATACTAAACTAAAGGAAACCTGCTGCTGAGCTATGTGACAGGAGTTACAATACCAACCTTCATTTGCTTTAAGTCATCAATGCTGACAGTAGGCACGAGTGCGTTATCTGAAACAGCAGTGGAAACAAATGTTATTCTGTGTTTACATATTAAACATGCTGTATGCGAACTATGTCTGTCTTTACGTCAGCGTATACCCTTCTTGGCTTCGGTCGTGTTATTTTGGGCAGCGTTGGAAGTCTGGGCCATGTCTGAGCTGGCTTGCGGTGTCACACTGGTTTTCACGGTGTCACCTTTACCCTTCCCTTTCTTGTCGTTTTTGGAGCTTCCGCTGGGAACATCTGCTATGTCGTTCTACAAAGGAAAAGAGACGCATTTATTCAAACTGGCTGCATCCTTTCAGTCAGATACATGCGATCAGACCAGTTTTGGATTCGTATGGGCGCCGCTTCCAAACCCATGTGTACCGTGTCAATTCCCAGTGCTTTCATCTGGTCAGCTCTCTTCTCTGCTATAGTCAAAAACTTCTTTGGGTCTGATAGAGCATCCACAATAGCTGAAACACAAAGAGATTTAGAAGATTTCGTCATGAGCCTGGTGGGCTGAATGAATAACCTGACGCTGAAATGTGTCATTCAGTGCAAACTTTGTATGACACAGCTTTGCGTTCCTGTCTACGTTCTGAGAAAGTCTCCTTATCAAATCTGAAATCCTCTTCACGTCTTGTTTAAATAACCGTTACTAGGGAACAGGATCTTATTTTCAGCTCTTGGTAAAGAGCTGCTTGAGTAGGAAAGTGATAGCGACAGATCTTGCAGAATAACCACTAATGGTTACAGTAATGATTCCTCAGTGCGAGCCCGTTGGCTTTATTTAATGACAACTCCAATTGTCCTGCTCATTTGTATGCTCGTGCCTGTTCGAAACCATTACTGCAGAGTCACTGTCATCATCATTTGTGCCACGCCATTACTGTGAATGTTAAAACCAAGGCAGAGAAAAAGCGAGCAGGAGAGAGTTTTCTTGCTTTCCTTTCTCCTCTCCTCTCCCTGCAGGCTACAGCAGCTGCTTTATTATACTGCTCTCAGAATACTTATGGTGGATATTAAAGGTTATCTATACAAAACAAACTTATAGTTCTGTTTTACCCATGCACTGAAGTCTATCCAGTAATATAAAATACATTAAGTGCTGCAATTTGTGTGTTTCCCTCACCTCCGAAGCCGTCGGGCACGTAGGTCTTGAGGATGATTTGGCAGAAGACTGTGGGCAACGACAGCGGCTTGTTGCCTTCGTTTCTCAGAGAGATGTGGCGGTAGCCAGCCTGCAGGCCGTCAAGAGGCAGGATGCGCTGCCCAATCAGCTTATTGTTGTCGTCGTAGACTGCGATGCGCAGCACGGCCAGGTCTGGTAAGATCACCTAGAAGGAAGGCATGAAGGGAAACAGTGGGTAAGAGGGAGGAGTAACCACACTGAAAAAAAGGAAAAAGAAACGTCGCCATTAGTTCTACCGAAATTTTGGAAGTCTACTGAGCTCATTCTGCTCTGATAATGTTTAAAAAGATAAATATTTGCCAGACAAAGCAGTAAAAGAAAGCAGCATCATTAAAGGGGAAGGTCGAAGATGGAACTGCAAGGGACACAATCGGGGTATAGTCCATGTGTGATAAAAGAAAAAGACACGATAAAGGAGGAACACACTGCATATCTGACTGCTGACAAGCCCGTCTCTGCAGCTAGTATGCATCCAAGGAGTGGAGAATATCTCGTGTACATATGTATGCTTTTAACTTGTGTCTGCAGATGAGCTTCTGTACTCACACCCTTGGAAAAAAAGAGAGCGAGAGAGTGTCTTAACTGGGCTTCTATGTGAAGATAAGAGGATGATTAATACAAAGACGATGGGAAGGTGGGAGATAAGGCTGAAGAATACTCACTGGAGATGAATGGGTAGAAGCATCGCGTGTGTGTGTGTGTGTGTGTGTGTGTGTGTGTGTGTGTGTGTGTGTGTGTGTGTGTGTGTGTGTGTGTGTGTGTGTTTGCTTACACATTCACAGCCCTGCTGATGCACTGTGTATTGTTCGCTTGCAGTCATGACAGCGGTGTGTATGCATGCAAAAAGTGTGGCGGCATTTGAGGGCATCTGTGTGTGTGGAGGTGAGAAACGAATCTTGCTTGCAGACTGCTTATGATGGCCCTCTTTGATAGGTAGGGGTGTGTGTGTGTGTGTGTGTGTGTGTGTGTGTGTGTGTGTGTGTGTGTGAGCAGCACTGCGGCAGGCTGTGATTGATGGTGTGTGTTAGGAAGCTGGAGTCACAGTCATGGCTGAGAGACTTCCTATTCTGCTGAGAGCAGCACTATTACACACATGTTCCTCTCTCTCTTTGGCTCCCATCTCTTTTATTTTCCCTTTAATTCTCTCCCTCACCTCTAATTATCTTTCTTTTCATTTCTGTGGCTCCTTTCCTCACTTCCTTTTTCTTTTTCTGTGAGTCAGTATACAGTAGATTGTGTTTCGTTTTTTATGTCACACTTTATTATTCAACAGTATCCCAAATCTCTCCGTTTCTGTATTCTCACTTTATATTCTCCATCTGCTTCCTCCTCTCCCTAACTCTTGCTACTATTATCTTAGATTTCATTATTGTCTCCTTTCCTTCTCCTTCCATGTTTGGCACTGATCACCACCTGCACTCATGTATATATCATGTATATATCTATCCACTTAGCACTTTTAATTCTTATTCTTATTTTTATATTTTTATGACAGTATGTTTGCACTGAAGCACCGCAGCAATTTCCTAATGTTGTAAACCTGCTCAACATTTGGCAATAAAACCCTTTCTGATTCTGATTCTGATTCTGATTCCACCCTTTGTACTGGAGTAAGATGAGAATCAGGCTGCTTCTCATGTCACTAAGATCTTTCTCCCCCAGTTTCCATTTCCATTGGCTCATCCCAAATGGGACTACGTGCTGCAACATTTTTTCAACTCACTGCATCCATTATTGTTGCCCCGTCTATCCGTTCGTGCTACCTTTCTGAAGACGAATGGCTCCTCGTTGTAGGCAGGGTTCAGTCCATTGTTCATCACCATGCGAGTGCGAAACTCTTTCCGGATGGTGTCCGTTGGCAGTCCATACATGTCGACTTCAACGTAGGTCCCGATTTTCTTGTCAGAGAGAAACTGTCCTGAGAACACCTAAAAAAGAAGCAGACCATTCTCAGTGCTTTGGAGAGGTGTTGATTTTACAGAAATATTATCTGCACAGGTTCATTCAGTGCACTGTGGGGTGGCTGTGGCTCAAGAGGTACTGCAACCTATATACTAATCAGAAGTTTGGTGATTCAGTCTGCATGCCAGTGTCCTTGGGCAAGATACTGAACCTAGAGTTGCTCCTGAATATGAATAGGTGAATGAGTCATGTTGCATAAAACGCTTTGAGTCCTCTAGGAGAGTAAAAAAGCGCGATATAAGAACCACTGTAATTTGTACAGCATGCCACATCTAAGCCTGAAACCAACCTTCAACATGATATTATCTGTAGGTTTCACAGACATGGATGAAACCTAGTTCCACTGAAAAAAAAGTTTGGTTTAAGACTAGGCTGAATCCCTGAATGGAAATCCCTTATCCACTTTTTCCCTGAATGATTTATTAGTACTGCACGACCTAACCTGTACACTGCAGGTTGCAGCGATGACACCATCCACCGGTGTCTCTGAGAATGGGTCAAACATCCTGTCTGACCGCCGCATGAAGTCGGGCTTCAGCAGGTACCTGACGTGCACAGAAGATGCACATGAGGAAAACGGCCACGCACAAACCCATCAATGAACACACTTTTGTTTTGTAAAATCTGATTATGATGCCTTTACAAACATTTTTTTGTTGTTGATGTCTCTCGATTTAGAATAAATGTAGCACACGAAGGTACTGTGCATATGTGTATGCTAACCAGAGGCCTATCAGAGTAACATTAGTAGTGATGACTGTCTGCAAAAGCCTCGATCTCGCCACATATAAGATTTCCAGCATTAGCAGGAAAATCTCTGCCCTCAGGGACGGTATTAAAGGCGAGGCATGGAGACGACAAGGGAGAGAGGAAGAGACAGATGACTGCCGAGAGAAGAGGAGCTTCCTTCTCGAAAGCACTCATTGGTTTTTGGAAAAGATAGTAGCTGCGGTCGCTTCTGGCAGTCGCTAATGAGATGTGACAAGCTATAATTGATGAGCTTTAGAGAGGAGTGGAGAGGGAGGGAGGGGACAGACCGGAATGAGCTAAAGACAGGAGTTGAGGAGCTGTGCTCACCCGCAGGAACCATTGTACTCAAACTTTCCTTGGTTCAGCTGCATGGCCAGATCTGAGAGAAGAGTGAGAATGATAAGTGATTAGTAACTGCAATATATACACGCCAGTGTTTAAACATCAAAACAATCCAAATAAATTAATGACTAAAAAAGAAAACAGAAAAACCCCATCATTCAAAGACTATGTGAATTTTTTTCTGAATCTGAGTGAATGGGTTTGTAATATTTTCCCTGACTCCCCCTTAGCTCCAAGTCCCCAGACCCCTGCCTAAAGCCTCACATATGCCCCACTCACAGCAGGCCATATGGTCTAATGTCTAATGCCTCTGGACATAGGACAGCAGCTGTTTCACTCCCTGTTAAGGTGTTTATATGGCAGCAACAGTTTGATAGTGTGTGTGAGTGTTTGTAAGAGGTCAGAGATAAACAGAGGTACGAATTCAGCTGCATTTATTTAGCAATTTTGCACACACGAAAAGATATTGATTCTTTTTAAATGAGCTGACACCAAATCCAAACTTTAATTCAGAAACTTGTTTTTTTTCCTGCATGAATATATTTGCAGCTGCGAGATGGTCGTTTCGTAGCTTCACAGTCAACCCTTCCCCACATGCAGAAGATGCTCTGAGCATGATCAGAGGGTTACTTGAAATTAGATTTGAGTGTGTATTTTGTAATATGAAGTTACATATACTATGAGTGGTGTTGTATGGGTGAGTGTGAGGTTAGAGGTCCCATGTTGCATGCTGTGGTACCTGGGGTCTGGAAGTTGAGTGAGACCATCTGGCAGCCTGCGTTCCAGAAGATCTGAGGCATGTAATTACTGGAGTCCACCCGGCCCCCTTTGGGGTAGATACGGCTCATCTGACGCTTGTTGTAGCTGTGCTGAAGCTCAGGAAAATTTGAAAAAAAAAAGGGGAGGGAGAACATGTGTGTTTCAACACATGTGTGTGCGTGTGTGCATTAAACAGACTGTACAACTATTTTTAGTGTGAACAGCTTGGGTCAAGCAGTCCCACTGGAGGGGAGAGAGAGGCTGTGTGTCAGCCCGAGCTACACAGGCTGAAAGCACACTGGGCTCTAGAGGCCTCAAGTTCTTTTCCGTCAGCAGAGTGGAAACAAGTATGGCTAAAAAACATCAGTTCTGAGCAGACGTTCAGCTCTCATTTAGGTGACCTCAATCTATAAAGTTCAAACTCAGATTTCATTGGAAATTTATGTCTCTTCATGCATCTCAGTAAAGTGTCTGAGCTATTTCCCTTAAAGTCTCATAGAGTTTAAACTTAAAACCTAAACTTGGTGAAATCTGATCTTATGCTGATTAAAGTTTACATACATCCTGTAACGATAACTTAAATGTATTATTTATCTACATTTTTCCTACCTTAGCGTCCTTTTTTTTTTTTATAGCTGTTCTATTTTCTAGAAAAATCCAATGCAACTGGCTGATCTGACAAATGCTCAAAGGATACTTCACAAACTCAATGGCATTAGTCTTCAGATAGCCCAGGCCAACTGACTCGTTAAAAGATGACATGTTATGATGGATATTCCTTTCTGAAAAACAAAAGAAAAGAAAAGAAAAGCTGATTAACATTTATTTTGACAGTCAGTAATTGATTGATTGTTCTATGAGGCTCTTACATGAGAAATGACAGCTAAAAGTTGAAGCTCTCACCTTCAGCTACATCAAAACTCTGGAACTTGACCGGCTGTGCATAGTTGACCATGGCTGACAGATACGGGTGGATGTTAGTGGTGGCTCCCACATAGGTGTACTGAGCTATCAGAGCCTCTTCTAAGTCTTCTGCCACATCTACAGTCTGAACAGCACAAGCACACATACACATGGCTCAATAACCTAGTCTTATTCATCAGCCCAGAGACAGCAGTCAGCTTTTAGTGGGGTAAAAAGGGGACGGGATGGGCACTTGCCTTCTTGTTGTTGTCTTGGTCAGATGCTTCAGAGATGTCTGTGGCGTCAGTTGCTTCAGATATCTCTGTCACCTCATCTTCAGGTACCTAAGAACACATCCATACAAAACACCCATTAATGGGATGTTCGTGTTAGTGGTAGATTTGACTGAATTTGGGCCATAGTAGTCCAATGTCCTATATTTAGCAAATGGTACAGGGGGAAAAAACTGTTACAGTTAGCTGTTTTAATCTCACCTGCTGGGGATGTATAACAAACCAGAGTGCTTCTCTGCAATGTCCACAGATTCGTTTTAGTGTTTCAGTAGCAAGTCGACCCTCAAACCTACCTTCTTAATACTGTTGCTTTGCTCGTCATCTTTCCTTGAGCTGACAGCATTACTCTGAGAAACACTGTTGGATTCTTTCTCGCTGGTTGCTTCAGAAACACTGCTGGGGGCCTCTGAATTCAAATCCTTATCCTCTGCCTCTTTTTCTCCTGCGCTCACATATACAGAACAACACAAATCAATAGCAAAGCTGATTTTTTTTTTCCTCCAACATTAATATTTTACTTATTCCTTGGTGCATTTACTTTAGCGAGTGTTTGCACTTGATGTTCTACTTTGCATTTTTCAGCATAAACCTATCGCTTACTGCTCGTACAAGAGAGGCTGTCACGCACATTACTACAATTTATTATTTCACATAGAAACACAGGCTGTCAGACATCTGACCGTTCTCTGTGTCGTCTTCATTCTCCTCTCCCATAATGATAGCAGGGGTGTTTGTCTCTCCTGCCTCCATGTGTTTCTTGAAGGCCTCGAGCTGCTCTGTATTGCACACATACACATGTTAAAGACAGACAAATCTCATAAAATCACATAGATGTGCTGTATACATACTCTGTTCGACTTCAGGTTTCAAGCGTTTGTTTTTGATGAGGATTTTCCGCTTGAGCTCACTTGGAGAGGGTAAAGGACGCCCAGGTTCAATCTGCCAAAGAGAAAAGAACTTTTACACTTAAGTAAATATGAGTATAACCCAATCAGAGCAAATTCTAAGAAATACTTTGTATCAGAAAGAGAGGATTTACCGCATAGTTCTCCAAAGGCTGTTTGAGGAGCAGGTCACCGAAGATCTCCTCGCAGTACTTGGCCATCTTGTACTGCTGAGGTTTACTAAGTAACACAATCGCAAAAATACATAATATGTCTATGTATTGATTATTTGTGAAAAATGTATGCAAATAAAAGCAATCCTTACGCATTTGATGTTTACTGATTATAAATGTACCTGCAGTGATTTTCAAATGACAAAATAACAGGAAAGTCTGATGTGACAAATGCTGTCTCCTTAATGGCTTGGATAACATCCTGTGGCAGGAGAAGAAAAACATTAGGTGTGAGGAGGATGAATCATAACAAGCCATCAAATGTTATATCAAACTCTGAACACAAGGGGGCAGACTTACATTATGAAATAGCATTAAAGCAGTAACTGAAAGACTGAACAAAGTTGGGTTTTTTGTGTTCACCTTGAACAGGATATCTGTGCACATGGCCTTGCCATGAGTAATGATGGGTTCCTGGTCCTCTCCTTTCCCATCCCAGCAGTCCAGCTCCACACATCTAATGCAAAGCACACAGAAATGTCTCTGTCCACAAGCTGCACATGCAACTGAGCTTTAGCATAGCCAGATACATGTGTGTCTGTCAACCCATCCAAGTACACCATATTAACATAAATACCTGCATCCAGCCAGCAGGACCTGCCGGTACATCTCTACTGAGGACTTCCCGCCAAACTGTCGGCCTGTCAAGTACGTGTTGTGGGAGGAGCTGATGAAGTAATGGGCCAGCGGCTGGTCCATATCTTGGTACAGTTCCAGCCGGTCCAGGAACACTGGAGCATTTTCATCTGACATTAGGTACCGGCAGAAGCCATCACTGGACATGTGACCTGAACAGAACAAGGACGGACACGAAGGGCGTAACTTAGTGGTAGAATATTATTTATTGTTAAACTTTGTGAATATTTCTTTAAGGTGAAAGCAGTATAAAACTCTGAAAATATTATTGTAGTTTTTTTATTTATTTTGGAAAAATGTAACATGTATTTGTAGAAGAAGTGTTCTAAAGTAAACAGAATAAATGGCTTTTATAATTCACTCTCTATCACTAAGTATTTTATTAGTATATACATTTTTATCATTACTAACTCTGAATTCAGCACAAGACGTGCAAATGTCAGGCCTGTGTGTTTATATCAAAACAACAGCTACTTGATGTTTAACTACTGTAGATTCTTTTGGGAATCTAAATGTGTATTTAAAAAGCAGCAGAGCTATGTGTACAACCATTTCATCATGATGATAACAGGGGAAAAATAAACTCCGGCGCTTGACAATAAATATTTAGCCCTGGAGAAAATGTGCCAACAATCTGGTTTTCCGTTCAAGGTAACACCTGCAGATGGCAGCAAAGCCTAAAACATCTCTCTCCCTCTGGTTTGCCCACACGGTTCTTTACCTTTCTTCTTCAGATCTTCGTCTCTCTCGTATTTCTCGATGATCTGCATGGCTCTCTTGGGGTCGTAGAATGGAAACAGAATCTCATTTAACCTTGGGTCGCGCTGGTTCTGTGAAGCGAAACACAAACGCAGTCATCCCTCTATTCATCGTCTCCAGTAATTTCCCAGCACAAATCTAATTTAGGACAAACGCATCTTGCGCTACACGCAGGATAGGAGCAAACTTATTACAATATGTTTACACTCTCAATTTGTTATGCCTGATCAAAGGTACTGAACTCAGGACTATGTGATTGGCTTTCATCACTTACTATTTAAGAAATATTATCTTTAAATCATTAGTATACACACAGGCACATAACATTTAGACAGCAAGTACTAAAAGCACTGATCAAGGTGATTATTATACGGCAGTATAAACAAAAACCTGTGAGCCACACTAACAGGTGCAGAGATTAAATGTTGCTTAAAAGCAAAGAATCACATGTGTTTGAGGGAATCAAGGTGGCATTCACAAAAACAACAGCAAACATTCAAACATCATGAACATGTCGCTGCCCACTCACAGAGCCAGGTGGGGAATTTAATCTGATTGGCGAGCCCAGAGCATGAAGCAGCGCAAACACGTGACTGCACAGCAGCAGGACTAGGCAGGTATTCAGCAACACAGAGCAGCACAGCCACAGAACACATATACGCACAGCAGGGAACGAGACGAACCGAGCAGGAAGCAACAGGATGGAAACCTCGACCCTCCCGTTGCTACAGCAACACCAATCAGACACAGGGGGGAGAAGGAGGCAAGCCACGGTAGGGAGAACATGGGGAATGGGATGACGGTGGGCATGCAGAATAAGGGAGGTGGTTGAAGATGCCCTTGCAGGCCCACTCAAAGTTAAATGTTGTGTCCATCCAATTTGATTAAGGTGGACTAATGTGCAGTCGGGCCTGGGAGCAGGGCGACTTCTACCCCAGAGCAGGATGAGAGTAAGAGCAGCAGGAGTTGCAGGGAAGGGCACACGCAAGCTAAATACAGAGAGAAGTTAATGAATGATAAAGAGCTTACTTCATTCAGAAAGCTGACTAACTGGTCTACAGTTAAATAATCAGTTTTGTTCCCATTGCTGCAGAGAGATTAATTAGAAAAACAAAACAAAATGTTATGCTCCTTAAAATCGAAACCCTCACAGTCATTCACACAGTCAGTCAGTTAAAATTAGAAAAGCCAGTCTTTACAGTTACATTACGCTTTTAGTAGTATCTTGTTAATCATCACTCTTCTTTGACTGTTGTCATTAGGTTGAACATAATTAATGTTGAACGGTGGAAGCAGGTTAGGCTGTCCAGACATAGTTAGTGCGGCAGGCACAGAAACATTTGTCCTGATTATTTCCAACATGATGCAGCAGCTCTCACTTGGGGAATATTTAAACAGATGATATCATTGTTCTGCTCAGGCACAAGGTAACGCAGGTAGAATACGTTGCTGGGTAAGGGTAATGCTGTTAAATGTGTATTCGGAGGATATTTTATTATTTTTAAGGTATAAAACAATTAAAAAGAGCAGACGAGATTAAACACTTACATTTTCTTGAAGAGCTCCTCTATATCTGTGCGAGGGCAGATCTTCTGTGTGAGCGCGTAAAAAATGTCAAAGGTAAAATCTGCTGGTTCAATCTCATCGTTCTGTAAAAGGTAAGTGAGAGAGTCATTTCCTCACAGTTTTCTTTCAGCGTAACAAACTCGGACACATCTGACTTCCAGTATTGTCTGACCTTTCCACTAGGAAGGCCCAGATCCTTCAGAGCCTGAAAGATCCCCTTCTCCGTTTTGCCTGATGCAAATGTCCGAGTGATGCTTTAAGAAGAGGAGGAGGATAAGGTGAAGATGAGTGAATGATATTGTATAAAAAAAACAACAACCCAAAAACATACTTTAAACGCACTCTTACCCTCTTACAGGAATCTTCCCATTCACGTTGGTAAGGAAACACATTCTCATCCAACTAAACAAAAACAGGAAGTAGGATTAAGGCGTCTTACTGAAGAAGGCACAGCCAAGTTATTACAACTGTGCTGCGAATTGCACTCACTGTTTCTTGAGGCATGTCATTGGACAGACGTTGTTGGCCTTAACGTTGTGAATCACTGACCTCAAACCCTCGATCCACTTCTGCAAACAAACAAGCACAAGTATTCAGGACACACACGCACACGTGTATATACACTCCTACCACTTAAAACCACTGAACAAATTACATAGCATTCAAAAGAGCACCCAGTTTGCATTGTGTTAAGAGGTGAATGTCTTTGGGGAAATAAACAAGCAAATGAATTGCTCTTTAATCAACAGTCTTGTGATAGGGGCCTTGACAGGACCATCATTAACACAGACACAAAAAACACACACACAGCGATAAACAGCGACCTGTTGCAAGGCTACAAGGAGTGATGATAAACAAACAGCTAGAGAAGGCCTGTGACTGCCCATGAATATGCTGCCTCATGCATCCATGTAAAGGCCACTGATAATCCGAACACTTCTGAGCCTCCTCTCTGAATGTCTGTCCCTCTTTGTGCTAAACCCTCCTCCACTTCCACAACAAATTTCTACTGGTGTCATTATAAAAACATTAAATGCGATGGCTTGTGCAGCAGGGGCAGTCTGTTTGGGCCCGTGGTGTTCACGAAGCAGCGCGCTGATGTAAATATCTCTGTCATCTATTGAGGCCTGCTCTTTACTGTAGGGCCACCTGTATGCTGGGAGGGGTGCTGATGGTGTCGCGGTGGGTTTGTGTCTATATGTGTGCGCGAGAGAGATAAAGAGGGACTGTGTTTTTGACTGTGGGGGACGTGCTCATGTATTTTAACCTGTGAGTGTACGTGTTTGTGTTTGTGCTCCCTGCTGTGGGCTGCTGCATGAATATCATTGGCAGCCCCGTGGCACAAACAGCAGTTATAACACCCACCAGCATGAAGGGAAAAAACAAAAAAACACCCTCTCATGGGAAATGAATAAACACCAATCCGGTGGTGCCAAATAACAGATCTGTGCTCAAAAAACGAAAAACCCCAGCTTGTTCTAAAGCTACTGGTGATTTTAAATTTTTCTACAAACTGACATCTGTAAAAACATTATGTACACCGTGCTCCAAAATTATTATGCAAATAGGATTTTAGTGTCATAAACACTCAATTTTGTGTTCAGTTAAACTCATGGATAGTGTTGTGTCTCAGGGCTCTTTGGATCACTGATATCAATCAGACATAATTAGTTTGTCAGGTGAGCCCAATTAAAAGAAGTCTACTTAAGAAGGATGTTCCACTTTATTAAGCATGCCACAGGTTTAAAGCAATAATGGAAAGAAAAACAATCTCTGCTGCAGAGTGTCAAATAATGCAATGCCTTGGATAAGGTATGAAAACTTAAGCATGATCATCGTACTGTGAAGAGATTTGTGGCTGATTCAGAGCACAGACGCATTTGCACAGATAAAGGCATAATGAGGAAGGTTTCTGCCAGACAAGTTCATCGGATTAAGAGAGCAGCTGTTAAAATGCTATTACAAAGCTGCAAACAGATATTTGAAACTGTAGGTGCCTCTGGAGTCCCATGAACCTCAAGGTGCAGGATCCTCCAGAGGCTTGCAGTTGTGCATAAACCTGCCATTCGGCCGCCCCTAACCAATACTGACAAGCAGAAACGGTTGCAGTGGGCCAAGAAATACATGAAGGTTAATTTTCAAACAGTCTTGTTTACTAATTTGCCATGTAATCCTGGATGGTCCCGATGGATGATGTAGTGGACAGTTGGTGGATGGCCACCATGTCTTAACAAGCCTGCGACATCAGCAAGGAAGTGACAGAACCATGTTTTGGGCCAGAATCATGGGGAGAGAGCTCGTTGGCCTCTTTAGGGTCCCTGAAGGTGTGAAAGTGACCTCAGCAAAGTATGTAGAGTTGCCATTTACCATTTCTTTCATGGTACCCAAAGAAGAACAGTGCCCTTTGTAGCAAAATTATCCTCATGCATGACAATGCACCATCTCATGCTGCAAACAACACCTCTGTGGCATTGGCTGCTATTGGCATAAAAGGAGAGAAACTCATGGTATGGTTTCCATCCTCCCTCCTGTGGTTTCTGACCTCAACCCTATTGAGAACCTTTGCAGCATCCTCAAGCAAAAGATCTATGAGGGTGGGAGGCAGTTCACATCAAAACAGCAGCTTTGGGAGGCGATTCTGACATCTTACAAAGAAATCCAACCAGAAATTCTCCTGGTTCAATGGATGCAAGAATTGTGAAGGCTATGTCAAGGAAGGGGTCCTATGCTAACATGCGACTCGGCCTGTTAAGACATTTTGATCGAAATAGCTTTTAGTTTCAGTAAATATGACCTTTTAATGCTGCAAATTCAACAAATGACCATTTGCGGTTCTTTACAAACAATAAAATGTTTTGAAACTCTTGTGCATAATAATTCGAACAGAGCATTTTGTATTATTTTATTTTTTGCAAAAACGGTTATCTTTGGAAGGTTTGTTCAATTAAAATTGATGACTTGAAAATTATACTGACTGTCATTTGCATCGAGTATGTAGGAAAGTCAGCGACAAATATCAAAAAAGTTTAGTCAAGGTTAGCGTGGTGCTTTGATTTTCAGTCATTCTTGTTGTTTTGTGGCACCTCTTAATTTTTCTCAGCAAACTATTGTGAATGACAAACTATTATTTGCAATTGTGTTTAAAAGACAATAAAGTATAAGTCATATGTTTTAAGCTAATCTGGCAGACATCTGTCAGGCTGAGAAAACTTACTTTAGAGGACACGTAGAGTTTCTTTTAATCCCAAATCTTCATCTTTACCAAAATGATTGAGCACAATTATGGTCATGTTCATTATATTGCATGCTGTCAACATAGCCTATGAAAATACCAAAGCTAGCATAGAAATGACAAAGAAGTATTGTCTGTGTGTTGAACAGGAACTAATAGAACTTCTTTCCTTCAACAGAAACGAGTATTGAGACTAACCAGATATTCCTACTTGGAGTCTTTTTATAGGACTCAGTCAAGGGGGGGGGAAGAAGAAAAAAAACACCTTTTTTTAAGTATAATAAACACTGACTTTAATTTCTCTTACTGTGATGTTTTTGTATTATGCCAAAAGTAGCAGGTTATTTTTGGGGCTCATCCAAGTGGCTCATTCTTCAAATATAGAACAATGAAGAAGTGCAAGACAACAAGAGAAAAGCAGCAGCGAAAGCAGCAGGAGGAATACAGAACAGAGATGCTGTGAATCATTCCAGATGCATCTATTTATTCAATGAATCAAGGCCTTGTGTAGGAGCTGGCATATTAACCCTGGCTTTCCTTTCTGAATTGAGAATCTGTAGGCTGGGTGGTCTTTTAATCTTTACATCTACATTGTTATGGAAATGTTGAAATTACTCAGACAGGTGCTAAGCAGAGTTTACCTCGAGGGCAGAAAAATGAAGTAGTGGTTAAGCTCTTACAAGCAGCCTCACTGTGCTCTCTACTTTGGAGCTCTAATATGTACAGTATTAGTAGGCAGATTGAGCGAACCGGGAAGGCTGCAGGATAGCAGATATCTGACACTATCACGGGATAATGCCTGGACGGGACTAAGCACCAACCTCCAAGGTTGAAAAATCCACACATGCCAAAGTACCAAAAACTGTACTTCCATAAGTGGCCACACGAGGCAGACGCCCAACATGACTCTTTCCCTTTAGACTCCCAACAAAAATGTCAAATTTCACCACCTGACTGACATAAAAAAAAACTATAACTTTGGTCTATAGTTACCCATCCATAACAGCTCTGTGTAGGTCATTTTTACTTTAGGTCTCTTTCACATTAAAGCTTAAAGCTAAGCACCTGATTGATAAGATTGACAGGTGGACACCAATCCAACTAACTGCTTGGTAGGAGTCACGTCACTCACGTGTGTTTGTGGCCTGGGTGACTTGTGGAACATCATTTAATGCTGTGTGATTAATTGTAACAAGAGCCATCTAAAGAAGTTCCTGTTTTGCTAAGTAAAATTTTAGTTTTTTCTAGTTTGTTTTGTGGGTGTGTGTATCACTTGGCACTAATTAGAAGGTATCAGTATTTAGCACGATGCACACATACAATCTATGCATGCATTTTGCTAACCATTGTCCTATGATTTGTTTTTACAAGTTGTCAACCAAACAATAAAACAAAACAGAAACGCCCCAAATGCTAATATTTAAGGCATCAAAACAGGACTTCACAACCGGGTGGGTGACGTCATGGTGCCTATATCATTTACATCTTTTACATACAGTCTATGGGGTTTGCAGTGATTTTTTGTCCAGACAACATATGCTTTGTGGCCATTGATTAAAACCATCTAAATTCATCAAAACACATTTTTTTAACCTGTGATGCACTCAAAAAGTGTCACAAGTTAGATATTAGCCAGAAGCTACATAAGTGCCTTTTGTCACTGAAAGGTATATGGTGAGTGAAGAAAATCATGCTATATTGGCATACACAGCTGTCCATTACATCTGTTATATTGTAATAATATTTCAAACTGCAACACTCCAATTAAATCTCAAGGTCAGCGCTCTTTATCGTTTGTATAAAGCAGCAGAAATGTGGGGAGGGCATGCATTTACCCTGGCTGTCTCTGGGTTCTCTGCCACCATGAACATGAAGTTGAGATTGACCAGGTCTGTGCCACTGCAGATGCAGATGATGCAACCCTCCAAGTCTGTTTCTGTCTTTCCAGTGGCCTCAAATGATGACAGGATCTTAGGGTCCTGAGGACACAGCATCAAAGGCAGAGATTAGTATAGAAATGATGGATAAATAGCTGATCAAAATTAAATGCTAAGACGGAGACCTAGACATAAAGCTAAAAAAAAAAAAAATAAGATAGAATAATTAAGCAACAGAGCAAGCTCTTTAGATGTTTGAAAGCATTTCTGCTGCTTTAAGTTTAAGTAGGGGAAATATTTCAACATTTATAGACCTTTAGTTCTTTTTCTCAGAACAAAATACATCCCAGCACACCTTAGTCTGATATAACTTTAATGTCTGTTTTATCAGTTTAACAGAAAAATCTCACTATCAAAAACACCACTCCTTCCTCTCTCATCTTCTCAATCAGATTTCCTGTCTGCCACCATTGAAGATAGTAATGCTTATATGTTACGTGATTGAATTAACAGCAACAGGCAACAGGCTATGCCACTTTAAAATCTCAGCCTGCAATCATCCAATCCCATTCATCTCTTCTCTCTCATTGGATTACTTGAAACAGCTCTCCAGGCTTGTGTAACCATGTTAGCCTCTGAGAAGCCCGGTTATCAGTTGTCTGCACTGTACAAAACAGCATACGGCGCATGAGCCGCCATCAGACTGTAGAATCTATATACGTGCCCTCACATACGTACATAAAAAGACCGCCACACAGGACCAAACAAAGGCGCTCCAATCTGTTGTCAGCAGTATGATTTGAGACGCTCCTGTTAGGCTTCTGCATTTCAGTGGCTTCATTGGTTTGCATACAAATTAGAAGGCAGCATGCCCGTGGATATTCCAGTAATAGCTTTCATAATTCATATAGCTGGTATGATGCTAAATACCACAATATAATGTGTCACTGTCAAGGCTACATAGCATGAATCGATATTTAATATACAGAGGAACCATGTGGTTTGGATTTGTGCATATCTGCCTCTGTAACTGCTAAATAGAAAACTGATTGGTTGCCAGCTGTAATAATTCACTGGGCTATTTTAGAGGCCATTTCCTATCATGGGATAAGGAAAAGTCATTCTGGCGGAGACAGAACATCTTATACTGTTGATCTTTTGATCCTGTAGTGTGAACTCCATAACCCAGCGGTTTTCTGACAGCGCATCACCACAGTGGCTGAAAGAACAATTTTTCAATACTACTCTCTCGGTCAAAAGCACAATCCACAGCTGCGAGAAAGTTCAGTAAGAACCTGTGGCGAAACTCAGAGTTGTATAAATATTGATGAGCTAGTGCCCTGTGGGAATCTGTATTTGAAAGCAAATCTCAGCAGTAAGAACTCAACCGGGAGTCCCAAAACAGTCATTATATTGATAGAAAAAGCCACTGTAGCCTTGGCTAATTTAGGCATGAATAATAGCCTGAAGTGGCAGTGTCTCTAGATTTTACCGGGAGTACCTCTGTGGGACTAAAAGATGGAATGTTTGATGCGGAGGGTGAGAGTGTGAATTTTGTGAAGGCAGAAGTGAAGAAATGGTCTCTCCTGAGTTCTTACCTTTGGGACGGCACCGACGCGAATACTGTTGATGAGAGAACACTCCAGAACCTGACCTTCCTGTAGGAGACCAAAAACGGTGGAAAGAAAGGGAAAAAAGAAGTAGATGAAGAGGGGGAGAATAAAAGTCTAGAAGAAAAACAATTTCTAATGGTCAGCAAAGCACAAGCACCACAACCTCTCAGCAACATGGGTGATTACAACCCAGAAATGAGGAGGAGTCCTTTGTGCGTTGAGAATAGCTGTTTGGGAGCAGGTTTACTTTATGTAAACAGGATTAGATCGCGGCCACGCAGGTATTTCCGCGTCATTCATACGAAAGCAACAGCGATATTCCACCACTGTTTCACCATAAATAAATAACATCAATGTAACTAAAGATAATGCAGCACTTGATCCTTTTATTGATGTCACACAGATACATACAGGTCATTTCCTAAAAAAGGGAAATGTACTATTAACATTCTATTACATGTATGTGATTATTACAGATGTAATTCATATTTCAGAGTAGTAATTGTAAATTACTTCGTGTAATCAAGATGAGAGACCACGGCTATAAAAGCGAAGGTGGATTTGGGAAGTCTGTCGCAGTCATATCCTGTCCGTATACGTGAGCAACCCATTGCGGAAGGTGCAAGATTGATAAGGAGAGTCCTCAGAATTCAGCGTATATTGCGGGACAGACAGGATCCTTTAGTTCAGCGCGACAGTGTGCTCATAGAGAGATATCGATTTTCCCGTGAGGGTATTATTTACTTAACCAACTTGTTGACGAGGGGGTGCAGGACCACCACCTGTCTTTTTTTTTGCTCTGCCCTTTTCTTGGTTGCTGTTATGAACAAACAAACAGATTATTCCAGGGTCTCTTTCCAAGAGACGACAAGCAATATAAGTGATAAATATTACCATTCTGTAGAATATTCTTATATTTCACTTGTACTTGTTCCCATGTTCTAGTGGGTCCTGTTGTGGCTCTAATGTGAAAGGGGATATAATATAACATATTATAATATAATATAATGTAATATAATATTGGATAATATGGTGTGATATGATAAATTTACCCTACCGCCTACTGGTGTTGGTCAGAGGGGCCGATGGCGCAATATGGCAGCCTGGCTTCTGTCAGTCTGCCCCAGGGCAGCTGTGGCTACAACCGTAGCTGCCTCCACCAGTGTGTGAATGTGAGAGTGACTGAATAGTGGCATTGTAAAGCGCTTTGGGTGCCTTGAAAAGCGCTATATAAATCCAATCCATTATTATTGTTATTATTGAATTACTTACGAGTTTGATTTGTCAGCAACTTTCTGCCAGCCCTCTCTCCTTGCTTTTGCAGCCTTTGCAGTGTTCCCTTGCGTTTTAATTAAACTCTGACACTCCTGAAATCCCTCACTCAAGAGTTCTTGCTCTGCTGCCGAAAAATACCGAGCGCGCTCCTTCGACATTTTCGCCGACCAATCAAAGGGTTGCCGATCAATGTTTCTACTATCGATGCGTAGCCCCTGTTGGGCCACCCAGTGATCTCACATTACTTCATCCAGCTATACTAATCGTCAACAACAGGTGTGTTCGGGGAACCGGAATAGCGAGCTCAGAGTTAGCGCGATGATTTGGTCTTGGATGTTTCATTTGATCTTGGATGTAGTAAGCGACGTACGAAGCACAGGGCCCAGGAAAGAAAAGGAAAAAATCAATAAATCAATAAATAAATGCTAGGCTTCATCTTAGCTAGTTTAAAATCATCCAACAAGAGCTACTGAACATATCTGCAACAAATTAATCCAACTATCAGATAAACATCTGATAAACATTGTCTATTGCCCAATGCTAATCAGTATTAGCCTAAATGCTAGTACTTAAATCTTTTCTCTATATTTTAAGCTTGTTATAATATACATATATTTAACGTGCTTCATTTATAGTTTTTATTTACTTGCATATACCTTTTTCAGAGTCAAATGGTCAGAAGTACAGAAAAAAATCAAAACAACTTACTCTTTCCTTGCATGCCTTTTTAAATACTTTACCTACTCCATGTGGATCCTGTCTTATACATTTCTATTTAGAGGATCCTCTCGAAAATCCTAGAATACACACAGGTCATGATGTGGAAGTCGTACCTTTCCCTCACTCTTCCAGGTGATGAAAAAGCCGTACTCGTCCACTTCCATGTGGCAGTTGGGCTCAAAGATGTATGGGTCCTGCAGCAAGGAAAAATGATTATTTCTAAGCAATGAGGCCATATTAATCAAAGGTTTTATTTGACACAGCAAGACATTAAACAGTCAACCTGTTTAACAAACACAGGAATTATGCAATCAGACAACCAGATGTAGCTCTTATTCATTTTACAAGATATACCTGCCTGCCTACGAACACACACTCAAACATACTTTCACAAAGAATGCAGAAATACGCTCAGTATGTACACACAGGTTGCCCGTAGGGGAGATGAAGCCTGTTGTCTAAGGCAAACACGCAGTGAGATTAATGTGACCACCTTTAGCTGTTAAATGCAAACATCAACGCAGTTGGAACACATTTCCAGGTTATAGAGACGAACAGGAGGTAAAAGTGTATTAGCATAGCTACTGTGATGCTACTGCACACATCGTTCAACAGGAGTGTCGGTGGAGGAAATCGACTAACCTTAGCCACCTTGTCCTACTCAATCTTACCATCAATTCAATCAGCCGGAAGATGTGTGTGTGTGCCGACAAATATGTGTATTTTTGCCCCACTCCACTCAAACAACACATCTGAGAAAGCTAAAAACATAAGAGAGAAATAAACTAGAATGGGAGAAGGCTGCTGGGTCACTCTAATATTAGCAGTAGGGAACAGTGTAACACACTCATGTACACACTCATACACACGTGATTTATTATTTCAGGATGTTGCTACTATGAGATACGCAGCTGCAAATAGGGCTGTGCTGGCTTGTTACTTGGCTCTTACCCTGACATCTAAAACCCTCAAAAAAAACCCCTCAGAAGAATAATCTTATTTCCATTTAGGAAACAGTGAGACTGCTGTAAATGCAGATAAAAGCTTGACTCTTTCATCTGAACGAAGACTGACAGAGTGTTCGGTGTTAGATATACAGCCACCTCGATGAAGGAGATGGTTTCAGATAAACCTCAACTGTTGAGGACATACAACAGTATCACATTCCACTGCTTTTAGCTTTACTGTAATAAATCTAAAATTGTGTGTGTGTGTGTGTGTGTGTGTGTGTGTGTGTGTTGCCTATTGATCGTGCCTCTTATTTTGAACACAGATCCTCAGATCATTTCGAGGTCTTTTACCCTTTGTCTAAATTTCCAAATCAATATTAGAAAGTGATAATTAATCTGCCCGGTGTAGGCTTAAGAGCTGTATCTATAAATATTATATATGATGCTATTAACAAGTGCAGTCAAAAACAAAGTACACCTTCTGTAAATTTGTCAGTATCAGTTCATAAAATCATCTTCTCTATGACTATCGTTCTCTCACATTTTTGTGGAGGAATTATGTCTTACTATTTATACTTGTTTAGGTCATTGAGGTTTGTGGGAATAAAATCCCACCACAGTATTTAACCCAGGTTGAGGTCTGGACTCTGACTGGATCACTGCAACAATTTGATTCTTTTCTTTTTTCCAGTCATTCTGTTGAATCTTTGAATTGCTGCTGTGTTTGTGATCACAGTCCTGTTCCATGACCCAGTTTAAGCAGAGCTTTATCTGTCACACAGGTGCCCTCACATTTGATTTTAGAATACTTTGCAGTCAGTGACTCGACCATGAACTCATCCGTCTACTAAAGCGCTCAGGTCCTGTGGCTGCAAAACAAGCAGTAATGGAAGGAATCCAGCATTAGTTTTATTTATTTAGTTATCATTAAATAAATAATGACAGTTTAGTTTTTGTATTTTGTTAGATTATTATTATGCCTCGATATGTAAAACCTTAGAAGTTAAAGAGGGTGTACTTTCTTTGCGCCACGACTGTAAATGCTTATGTGTGTTTTCTGTCTCGTTCGTCTCAGTCTACCTTCATCAGCCGTCAATATGAGGCTGCATAGTTTCCATGGACACTAAACATCAATCAGATCTTAAATGATTGATTTCCACTCAGTGAGATAATGAACGAAACACACACACACGGGAAGCTCTTTGGCTATTTGCATAATGGATTACATAGGATATCTTTCACCTTTTACCTCAATGCCTCTGGACTCTTAAAGAGGACAAACTCATATCAAATATCTCATTAAAGGATACAAACTAATTATTGAAAATCCATAGTACACTACAGCGTGTAGAGCTAAAGAGAAAAACAAAGAGTGAGATGCAAACTTGGAAACATCTCCATCTATTCAAGGACATGAATAAGATGGCAAAGAAAGCATTCTGGGGACCTTAAGTTGTTTTAGAAAGCCATCTTATGTAACGATATGAGCTGAGAGGCTCTATATAACGATAGCTGTCCCCTATGAAGCTTTGAATTGCACTCGTACAAACACACATACAGGCACACTGACCCACATGCACATTACCTGCCACTACCATCTGTCACTCAGTGGGGCTTCAGTCACTAGAGACTGTTCTTGTGGCAAAAAAATAAAATCCATGCTGTTTAGCATATGCTTTTTGCACACTGAGATGCTTGCGCCCCGCATCCTTTGTAATTTCCAGGCAGCAGTGCTTTGCTCACACAAACACAAACACATGCCCACACTGACACAAAGTATGACTGACAGTGTTTTATAAATGAGACGCATTGCTGCTTCGTGTTTACGATAACAGCGAGGAACATGAGCTGACAACCAAAATAACTATTGATTTATGAATGAAGGACCGTAGCGCTGTTTTTTTCTCCTGAGACGCATCAGTTTGAGTTGATATTGTTTAGAATATAATCATTAATGAGAAAAATTCACAGCACTAAGAGGGGAGTGGTATGTCCCAAGTGTCATTATTCATTTTAACCGACTGACAGAGCTTGACCTTATTACCATTCAGGCCAGACCTAACCTTGTCCTGTCTAAGCTTGGCTCAAATTCACAGCAGCAACACACTGAGGACTCTGTTCAGAAGCATGCTGGCCCAGTTTCACCGCTCACTGTGACATGGCTTTGGATTTGATGATGCCTTTCCGTACACTCGCAAGCTTTTTTCTCTGCCTAAGAGGGATCCTCCTCCCCCAGCTGATGCCCACATAAACGGAGAGGACTGAGGGGATTTCCTGATGTGTGCAGGGGTACATGTAGGTCCGTGTGTGTGTGCGTGACTGTGACACACTTTGCCTTTGCTCGTCCAATGTCCTAGCTAGGTGTCCTGATTAAGTTTGTCTGAGGAAATGTGGGCAAAAAAAAAAAGCAGGAAGATATACATGGTGGTCACATACATGCAAGTGCATACAAAGATATATGGAAGCAATGAATTTGCTTGTGGCTGTAACTGAGCATTTATTGGTTATAATTTAACTTTAAAATAGTTTTTATTTAAGAAAGCTTTTAAATGATCTATTTATATTTCCTAGCTCACATTTTTTCTGTTTTTTTATTTGTGGTGGTGTTTTGCATCCTCCTTGTGCAGCTCCAAACTGGGTCCTGAGCCAGTACAGGCAGAATAACCTAGCAGGAATGCTTCTTAAGTCACATACAGTGGGGCAAAAAAGTATTTAGTCAGCCACCGATTATGCAAGTTCCCCCACTTAAAATGATGACAGAGGTCAGTAATTTGCACCAGAGGTACACTTCAACTGTGAGAGACAGAATGTGAAAAAAAAAATCCATGAATCCACATAGTAGGATTTGTAAAGAATTTATTCGTAAATCAGGGTGGAAAATAAGTATTTGGTCAATAACAAAAATACAACTCAATACTTTGTAACATAACCTTTGTTGGCAATAACAGAGGTCAAACGTTTACTATAGGTCTTTACCAGGTTTGCACACACAGTAGCTGGTATTTTGGCCCATTCCTCCATGCAGATCTTCTCGAGAGCAGTGATGTTTTGGGGCTGTCGCCGAGCAACACGGACTTTCAACTCCCGCCACAGATTTTCTATGGGGTTGAGGTCTGGAGACTGGCTAGGCCACTCCAGGACCTTCAAATGCTTCTTACGGAGCCACTCCTTTGTTGCCTCCTTTACGGATAAATTCTTTACAAATCCTACCATGTGAATTCATGGATTTTTTTTTCACATTCTGTCTCTCACAGTTGAAGTGTACCTCTGGTGCAAATTACTGACCTCTGTCATCATTTTAAGTGGGGGAACTTGCACAATCGGTGGCTGACTAAATACTTTTTTGCCCCACTGTATACAATCAATCAATCGAAAAATATTAAACAACAATAACAGATTTCACACTACAGCCTGACCGATATGATCAGCCAATTTTAGCTATTTGTCGCTCTGTTGATATCAGTATGTATAATGGCCAAAAAATTAAAATGACAAAATTAAAGAAGAAATAGAAGAAACACCCTTCAACTATGTTTTGTGTGTTGATGTTGCACAGTTCGTCCATGAGGGGGCACTCTGCAACTGTTGGCAACATGTTGCAATGATCCAAGCAGTTGGCCACAGTGTTAAAGAGTAAACAAATAACTGCACATAAACAGATTTCCCAAACATTTGTTAAGTTTTGTTTGTCTGAAAGAAAATAAATTAGCTGATATATCGCCATATTGAGTTTTGAAATCACCACATGCCTGTATCAGTATTGGCCTTTAAAAGCCTATAATCGGTCGGGCTCTATTTCACACTGTAGTGAAAAAGTAAGAGATCTCACGTGGCTCGTGTAAATCCTCTTTTGCTGCAGCAGAGCCTCCATAGGACATTTCCTGTAGCTCATTAAAAGAGTTGCACAACTCCTCTTTACAACACTGTTTGAGCTTATTTATTTTTTTGGGACATCTTAATTGAAAATCTGTCTTTATGTTTTGCTACAGCATCTTTAGGCACTGGAATTGAGAACCGGTAATCAAAAGCTTCTAAGCTTATCATTTTCTTTTATCGGCACTTGTAGGTTTTTCTTACAGTGGGTTAGGGCATATAATAAAGCAATGATGTCATGTCGCAGTGGAGCTTCTGCACGCCTGAGTGACTGTATATGAAAGCAGCACTGTTCTCAGAGTCAGACAGATAAACAGTTATGCAGGCACACCCATTTTGACGCCTTTCCCCACTTTGTGCATTTCTAAAATTGGTTCTTACATAAACCAATTTTCTTTGGAATTATGGCTATTCTAAAACTTTTTTAGCATGTGCATAATTTTTTATAGTGTGCTACTTAAGACCCTCAGTGGGCGTGTTGCGGACAAGCAGTCGCCATGCCAAAGCATCTTAATGAGCCTGATCAATGTGGCCTGTCTACAGCTAGAACTGTGACTACACCAGTGATGATATAAACTGAGGTCTCTGTTCTGTGTGTATGTGTGTGCGCTTGTATTACTCATGGTGTGGGAATATAAATGTCTTTCCATTGTTGCACTGTGGACCCGTCTTGGATATTTTTGAGAAGCAAAAAAACAAAAAACAAAGGCAGCATAATATAAATCATTACATTTAGAGACTAAAACTTCATTTAAAGCTTGGTATTCTAAATGTATGAAAACAAAGACTCTGCTCCGTGTGTGGATGTGTGCATTTGTCCAACTAATGACTGAGCCGGGCACAGTCATTAAGGTCCAGGATGATAACAGGGCAGAGCAAATAATCTATGGTGGTATCAGCAGGGAACACTTACAAACAGATAGCTTAGCATTGGCTAAACTTTCATCACTTCACTGAGAATACTAAAAGCCTCTTATTTTTAATCAATTACTCAATCCAGGAAAGTGTCATATTTACCTCATCAAACCTGTCGAAAGAGGCGCCTTCCTGCATGAACTCAGGCAGGTGCTTCTCCCAGTTGAATTCGTAGGACTTTGTCATGGCTGCTCACAAGTCTGAGAAACAAACAAAAGAGGAGAAGACACACAAGGAAAGAGACAGACACAGACACAGAGTATGTTAGAAAAGGATGCTCGCTCTCCAGGGGCTCATCCAAAAATATCCTCTTGAGAGAGTGAGAACAACTTACATATATAACAACCAACCAATGAACAAGCTCCAAAGACAGAATTTAGGAAAAATATTGATTTGTCGTTTAGGATTTTTCAGAGATTTAAAGCACTCTCTCTGCTTTGGAGCTGCAATTAGCAGTGAAGCAGAGTAATGGCCTGTATTTGTATTAGAGATGGACCGATCCGATATTACGTATCGGTATCGGTCCGATACTGACCTAAATTACTGGATCGGATATCGGAGAAAAATAAAAAATGTAATCCGATCCATTAAATATCACGAAAGCACCTCGCAAAACTTGCAACACGCCGTAACTCGCCTCAGAACGTTAGCACGTCGGAGCAGTATGCATCACGTGATAGAGCGGCTGTGGCATGCAGGACCTGTCGTGGTCTGGATAGCATGTGGAGCTTCGCTAGCAACCCGGCATTTCATCTCCGACAAAGTTATCCCGAGAGAAGTAAAGCAAGTGTGTAAGTCCATCTCTGAATGTTTGTAAAGCATTCCTGCGTTAAGCTTAACAAACGATATATGGAGCGACTGCCTCTTCCTGCTGCTACTTCAATCATGAAACTGCTCAATGATCAGCTGATCGGCTTTTCTGTCACGAGTCCGTCTCTCTTGTTTGTTTTTGGCCCACTTTGCACCAGAAAGAGGAAACCAGTGGCTAAACAACAGCAGCACGTTTAAGCTTGATCAGCTGTTGTTAGAATGTATTTAATATTACTTTCTACTCGAGGATCTTTTTCTAGTAGCTGACGCTGGTAACTGTGCAGGGGCGGATCTAGCAAAGTTTAGCCAGGGGGGCCGATAGGGCATTAACAGGGAAAAGGGGGCACAAAGACATACTTTTCTTTCTTATTCTCATTTAAAATGTCTAGCTTTTAATAAATAATTATCTGACACCCAAAGTTTTAATTTGATGCAAAATGAATAGAAGTCCATTACTGTATATAGTGACTATTAAGTCTAATATATATACCCTAGTAAGCTATAGTACTTTTTCCTTTGGGAAGGTACCATCTGTGCAGTCTGCAATTTTGTTGAAGAAAGATGTTGAATCTATTTAATATTTTAATATATTGAAAAATAATTGATTTCTGTGCATTTTTTTTTCCACACTGCATCAAATTAAGGTTGATTACGTCGATTGAGCATCATGAGGTGGAGCGTGAGGGGTGGTTCCCTATTTTTTATTTATTTATTTTTGTTGTTGCTGGGAGTTGGAACCCTATTAGTTAGGTTGCTTAATATTTACGCTAAGTACTCTTTAAAATACCAGAATAGGGAGGATGGTGTAGGTTTAAGTTTATTAGATTGATCAGTATTGCTGAACTATGAAATATATTTTTTTGCATACATGTATAACAGAATAGCTTTAGTGTAGTTGTTGTTTTAAACTTGAGTATGAACTTATACAAAATGCAGCAAGATATTTAAAAAAAACAGTTTTGTTGAAACACACTATATCGGATTCATATCGGTATCGGCAGATATCCAAATTTATGATATCGGTATCGGACATAAAAAAGTGGTATCGTGCCATCTCCAATTTGTATAGCGCTTAACTAGTCCCTAAGGACCCCAAAGCGCTTTACACATTCAGTCATCCACACACAGATTCACACACTGGTGATGGCAGCTACATGTAGCCACAGCCACCCTGGGGCGCACTGACAGAGGCGAGGCTGCCGAACACTGGCGCCACCGGGCCCTCTGACCACCACCAGTAGGCAACGGGTGAAGTGTCTTGCCCAAGGACACAACGACCGAGAGTGTCCAAGCTGGGGCTCGAACCGGCAACCTTCCGATTACAAGATGAACTCCCAACTCTTGAGCCACGATCGCCCGTAAAGAGTAAAATAAAGAGTAAATAGAACAAGCAAAAGGAATATGGGCAAATGACATCAGAGGACAACCGCTGCGTGGGACCAAGCAGGAACCTCCAGGGCTGAAAAATGAAGTCCATGGCAAAGTGCCTAAAGCTGCAGTACCTTAACTGTCCACTTGAGACAATCTCAAAGAGTGAGTTAAAAAACAACAACAGCTGTACAGAAAATGAGTTTGTCTGTTTTTTTAATTCACCCATTCGCGGTTGTTTTTTGGGGGGTTGTAGCTGCTTTGACTGTCGAGGTTGCCAACACAGGCGTCTTTAGCTAAGCTTCACGTCAGCTAACTGGAATCAACTGTGTAGTGTTGGTACCTATTTAGAACATTTTTAATAGACCTACCTGATAAAATGGAGCTTTTAAATTGTAATAACAGCCCATCCAAGCTATGTGATTCAGATAATATGCTTTTTTTTTTTTATGTGTTAAATAAGCACATATGTAAATCTGCACAATAATGTACATAGAGCCTACTGGGTCACCTTGCTAACCAAGCTTGCTATTATTTGCTAATAACAAAGAACTCATCCTCACGTCCAACTATCATCGCTTCTGGATTCCAAAAACAACCATAATGTTATAAATTAATCCTATAAATGGGACTATGGGTGGGACTGAGCAACACAAATTGAGCATATCACAGAGATAAAAAGTATGCGAGAAAGGAATTTCCTCCTCCTGCTTTTATCTAGGACCCTGAAACAAAACGGATGGGCACTGCACTCCTCTCCAAATACTAGAGAGTCAGGCTTCATTCATGTGACACACCTGCACGTGTATCATCACGTAAGACATCCAGCTCAGGGAGGGGAGGAGGTAATTGTAATATTGCTGATGACACCACCCAAATATAGGCTCCACCTACGTCAAGCTCAAATGTGTCAAGCAAAAGTGAGAGGGAGAAGTGCACTTGAGAACGTGACACACTATGTATAGCCTAAGAGCTCAGCCGGTATTAAGTCATTATGGGAATACTCTGCGGAGATTTGATTTTCATCCACCAATCTTTTAGCCTGCTGCGCTACAGAATATTTTCTACTATACAGAAAATTAAACGCATATACACAAAGTGGAAACTGGATGCTGATGGATGAGATGAGAAATAGGGGAACTGAGGAAGGATAATGGGGGAAGAAATATGGACAGAGAGTCAGCATGAAAGATGTGAAGGCACAGGGAAAAGTGAAAGGCAGAAATAAAATAATAAAATCAGTGCACTAAAAGTAAGAGCCTGATATACACCCACTGAGAGGCAGAAAGATGTGATCTGAGAGATGAGGAGAGAGTGGCATGAGAAGCATAGAGATGAAACAGAACAGTGGTGGGCAGAGAGACACAGAACAGTGACACAGCTGTGAGTGACAGAGGCTGGGGGATCAGAGTGGTGAGTACAGCAGACGGGGGGTGTCTGCTTTTGATGTGGGGAACGCAGATCAGACACATCATCAGCAGGGGTTACAGAAGACTACCGGCTGGGCGGGCTACAGTCCACCCCTGCCATGACAAGTGCAGATGATGCAAGGCTTCTGGGATGTTTGAATGCTGTCATTTTGAAAGTACAATGATTCAGAAAAAAAAAGAGACAATCTCACTGCTGCTGGCAGGTTCAGCAAAAGACACCATAGCTGAACAGAGACAGTGGATAACAACTTTGAAAAACAAGCTACTGCACTTTCATTTATGCAAATTAAACCAATTTGGTCTGCTGTGCTGTATATCACACAGCTAAAGGAGGTATAGTATCCAGGTCAATACATCTACTTATTTACAAAAAAAGGAGCCAACCGTGAAACCAAGTCCTCCACCATCTGTGTTGGCCAAAAGTAGAGTTTACTACAGAAGTTTACTCATCAAACAAGGGAAGCACGGAAATGTTATACACTGTAAAACAGATTCAAAATCATTCATATAGGACATTTCACATCTCTAATTTGGACTAATTGGACTGTGCTTTCCTGTCTGACGATAGCCTAGATCTCGCTACACTCAACAGTATGCATTAGATAACATTTTCCTCAGCGGGATGAAATCTGTCCAATAGCAGTGCAGCAGTTGAGGTCCTATAAGGCCACGCCAGTGCGCACGCTGGGCCTCTGAGCTTCTAGAAGTGTGAGTGTGCACGTGAGGAGCTATGGGAAGCTAGCGGAAGTCGGTGAGGTCCGAGCCCCCTATCCAACCCCTGACAGAGAGATAATTACGATAGATGGGAGCCCCGTGAGGAACACTGTTCCCAGCCTCCTCTTCTAAAATGGCAGCTAGGGTAACACCCAGCGGTCCCACACCTCATAAACTAAAATTAGGCTACAGCTACATCAGTCAGCCAGTGGTGGAAGGGTTGACTGGGGACATGCTCCAATGGACACGAGTGAACAACAGACAGAGAGCAGCATGTGTCATGGCTGTAACAATAATCACAAAACCAATAATAACAACGACAGGTATTAACTGAGGACTAAAACTTTAACAACAACTTAGCTGAACTGCAGGAAACTGAAAGAGGAAACATAATAAGATGTGTTCTGTTTGATCTTTCAACACATCATCATCTAATGTTTTTGCTGATACTGTTGTGAGGATTCACTGTCAGTCTTACTGCATTCATGTCAGACAAAAAGTATTTCAGTTTCCAGATTTTTATTTTCTTATTTCATGTCATCGTTTTCTTTTCTAGCTGCCAGCTGAGGAAAAGAATGGTTTCCTTGTGTCATTATCAAGGTTGTCAGATTTAGAGGATATACTGTATCTACCTGTGTTGTGCGTGTGCCTTATATGGCTTTATATCTTGCGGGGCCCGTGGAACTGAGGGACGGCAGTTTTTGGTTTACCGGATGCTGAGCCCTCCTGCTGTTGCCATGACATTAAAGAGCAAGTGGAAGGTGCTCGTCTATTTAAGGAATGGTACGTGCAGATTAAATAATAGCAGTCTTTTGCTTATCAGACGTCTTTTCAGGTATCAGCTATCAGGGAAAAAAATATATCCCACCACAGATGTT